GTCTTTATTATTATTATTATTATTATTATTATTATTATTATTATTATTATTATTATTATTATTATTATTATTATTATTATTATTATTATTATTATTTTATTTTTGATTTTTTGTTGATTTGGATTGACCCGTGGACAAATCTGATAAAGGACTTGAAATATTCGAAACGGATGGTCATGGGATTCGAACTCAGAGAACCTTTTATTTTATTTTTGAGTTTTTTGTGATTTGGATTGACCCATAGACAAAACTGATAAATGACTTGAAATATATTAAACGGGTGGTTGTGGTTCGAACTCAAAGGACCTTTACATTTGATATGGCTCTGATACCATGTTGAATGACTATCTCAATCAAAAGCTTAAACTGTTAGTGAAATGTATCATTTAATATTAATATCTACAATACTACCAACACTTTGTGATGTGCACTACAAGTTGTTACATTTTTAGTCCGTAAACTTTCCCCCAATTTCTCTTTTTCGTCTCCTGAATTCGGAGAACAAATTTTACTCTTGATTACCAATTTTTAACACATATTGAATCCGCTCCTTCTCGGGGATTGTCAACAACAGACCACATATTGATCCCCAATATGCAACAATTAGGGCAACTCCAGCGGGGCCCTAAATGAGGCCCCAAATGGACCAACTTTCAATTTGATGGCTGAACGTAGAAAAATCGAATTTCAATGCTGCCATCAACCAAGGCCTAATTTTGGGATCTCCTTCAGTTGGACCCCAAATATGGGGTCAGTAAAATGGGGAATCAAAATTTGAAGGGAGAAAAAAGACACACTGAGCGTGGGTGGGAGATTGCATAGAAGAATAAAAATGAGGAGGTGGGCTATTTTGTGTGTGTGGCATGTGGGTGGGTGGGAGATTGAGTATTAGTATCAGGATTTAATTAGGATTAGACATTAAAGTAATTGTTTACTTTATATTTAATTGTTTAAGAAATTAATTATATATATATATATATATATATATATATATATATATATATATATATATATATATATATATATATATAATTATATTTATTTAATTAATTTATTATTTATTTATTTGTTCTATTTATAACATAATATAGTTTTATTTAAATTTTATTTAAGTAGATTAATTTAAATAGATTTAAAAAAAGTGGCCCCAATTTGATGGTTTGCATTTGAGTAAAAAACTTTTTCAGAACCCTAAAACACTGTAGCAAATCATAAATGAATGTTTGGCCTTCTAATTTGGGGTCTTCGGCTGGTGTTGCCCTTCAGGCCATATTGTGAATGATGCTTGCACTTTCGATTCACCATCTTGATCTTACACTTGACATATCACTGCATGTGTAAGGAATGAGTAAATTGCATTGATTGGTCAAGATTTTTATGGTGAAGATCTTATGGTATCATTTCCATTTGTTGGAATGAGTAAATTGCGTTGATTGGTAAAGATTTATTTATATGTTTATTTTTTGGATTATTTGGAGTCCTATTTTTGTAATATTCTTATTAGGACTTTGATTTATTTTCATGTATCTTATTCTAGTTAGGTATCTTTGTACTTATCTAGAATAGAGTTAGAAATCGTCTAGAATTCTAATTAGCTAGTTATACGATTTCTTAGGGATCAAACAAGGGTTTGAGAGACTAAATTCGTGTCTAATAAAGCCTCATAAGTCATTCACGATCTCTTCACTTTTTATTGGAGAAAAACCTCTGATCGTATTGAAGTCGTGTTAGGGCAGATTGTAAAGCAGTATTGTGCCCTTGTTGCTGTGTGCCAACATATATAGAGTTGTTGTGTAGATCTCAGAAGAGGTTATCCGCGTTTCTGAAGGGAGTTCAGGCTTAAAGAAGGTTCAATGTTCGCGGAGAGGAGCTGTTGTGGAGAAAACACGAAGTTCGAGTTGTGTTCAAGAACGGCATAAAAATTAAAGAGGGAGTCTTTATTTTATTTTTATTAAGTCATATTAATGTACATTCTAAATCTGAACTAGTGAGATCGTATTTGCATGTCCTTGTGGATGTATGGCACAATTGTGTCTGAACCAAATTAAATTCTTATGTTCTTTACTCTGTCTTTAGTAGTTAATTACTGTGACAACAATAGAATTATAGTTGCAACATAATCTGTTACAATTTAGAATAATTAATTTCTATAAACATATAAATCAACACCATTAACCAAAAAACTTTTGATGGTAGATTTTTCAAGTTTGCAGGAATGGTCGAGGTTTGGTGGACAAGATATCTTGTCATTGCTCAACAAATTCAAATTTAAAGGAAGTGGTGAAACCTGGTTTTAGTCATGCTACTCACGCAGCTGAAACATTTGGAGGTCTATGATTATATTACATCTAAGCAATATTGAAATGCATGGAACAACTCCAATCTTATCAAAAAAAAATGCATGGAAGAACTCCAAATAATATATTTGGAATAAAAATTGAATGTTCTTAAAATAATTCATGAGCGAGTTTATTTATACATTATCAATTGTTGTGACCAAAGGACACACATAATCTTACATCAAATTTCATTTGTAAATGTTAATAAATAATGTAAAACATCCATTCACCTGAATATATAGGTGTCTACATTTTCCAAAATATAATTAATTTTCTTTTTTTAATTCAAATTTAAAATAATTTTATATAATTAAAAAATTCTAGAAGTATGTCGACGAGTGGAATATAGACAAGAGAGAGATATACATTGTTCAATATTTGTGATGAGAGCTGGATCTTTTGCACTTTAGCATTAACACAAAGGATCTTTTGCAAAGGAAATATTTAGGCAAATGAATTGTTTTTTTTTTTTTTTTTTTTTTGCGTAGATATATATATATATTCACATAAAAGCAAGCATTCGGAGTTAGTGGGTTTGAAAGTTTTGCCTTACATGTTAAGCAACACTGTGTAGTTTGTAATATTTATTTTTTCAATTATAAAATTTCAAGTCAAGTGATGTTATCAGTTACGCATACCTCAACCAACTCAACTCAACTCGTGTCTCCAATTTCATTACATTTATATTATCCACAAAGAATCCACGATAAAAATATCTAAATATCCAAATAAATTTTTATTAGTACTCTAGTGTAGCTCTAGCGTCCCTCAAACAAATTGGCATGTTGACTTTCGGGCAAGTTGACTTATTATCTTGCAACTATTTTATATGTTGATTGATGATATTCATATTGTTTGGATTCCTGAAATTATCTATCTCTATGCATATACGATGACGTTCACATTGTTAGATTCTTGAAATATTATATGCGATGAACATATATAATTGTGAACCAAACTTTAACAAATCGCAACATATAATGTTGCTCATTTAATTCTGTTTTCGATGTTTGAAGCAAATAGTTGCAACCAAATGATTTTACGCAACGGGTTTTAAATTTCTAGAAGAGAATGCGTAAAATATTCGAATTTAATGCTAAGTGAGAGAAAATCGTGAAATCTTGAGCAAGACAACAATTCCTTTGAAATTAAACAACAAACCGTAAGACCGACATAACGTAATCTTCTGCGAAACAAACAGATCAAAGAAAGATTACTTTCTCTTTTACCTCCTCTTATGGTTTTCTACCTAATAGTCATATAGTCATAGAGTCTAATTAGAAAGAAAAAAGAGGCAAGAACACAAATTGAGAGCCCCTTTTACCCTTTAATTAATGGTTACATCAGAAAGAAGAAAAGCCAGCTCATAAAGTCTCAATTACACACATGCATGCATGCATGCACCCACTACTCATAAACATTAATCACTCAAATGTTTATTACGTCATACAGTTACACAAAAATTAAATATTACTACAATCATCCAGTCTGCGTCTTTTTTTATTACACAATAATAATCATAGAAAATGTCAAAAACATTACGCTTGTAAAAAATAATTTCATTTAAATGAAAGACTGACTAAATGAAAGACCGACGCAGAACGGAAGCACGGTAGACAATTAATTTCTACGAATTAATCTTATAGAACAAAATAATATTCCGAAAACTCTGGAATCCATCAGAAAAATAGAGAAAACTCTAAATATTTTATTAAAATTCGAAATTCTTTTTGAAAATAAAGTCCTAAGGCAGCTATTTATACTAAAAAACTGAAAACCATAATTAAACTAAGAAAATACTAAAAATTACAAAAAACGGCAAAAACGAGTTAGAGTCTGATTCTAGTAGATCTCGTAATTTTGGGAACAACCCAATTTACGGAACCTAATGATTTGATATTAATTTTCTAAAACATGACTAAAATAGCAAAAACGAACTTTTAGGAGTCTAAACGACGTTGGATTGCTGAAATTTGACGTGATACATGAGCTTTGCTCATGAGTTTTGTTCCTTGCGTTGTTTCACTTGAGATAGAGTTCGTTTCGTACTCAAATACAATTTGAGTTCGTAGAAAACCCTTATTTTTCCATAATTTCTTTCGATATTTCCACCTATGCCCATAAATAACTCTTATCCGAATTAAATAGTTATTTTGCAATTCGAATCCAATTTTACGTTCGTTATCAAAGACTATGTATAGGAAAGATAACTTCCATTGCACATGATGAAGCCTGAGAAGAAAATACATTTGGAAAAAGATTTATATATATTATATATAAATGGAAATATAATAAACATTATCTTACATTAAAGAGAGAAAGCAGAAACAGCAATTAACTTTGTGAAAAAAGATTGGTCAGAAGATCATATCTTGTTTCAACCTTTAGTTTTTTGATGACCAAAAGCTGACTCATGCTACAAAAGTTGATATCAAACAACTGCCCCCTCTGCTTCCTTATATATATACATAATAGATTCACAAACACATGTTTATTATACCAGAAGAACAAGTTATCCACATTAGTAATTAGAACATTCTAAAGATTTTTGGTCTGTCTCGTATTTGCACGAAGCAAAAACGAACAAAGCATATTAATGGAACTAGAAAACAGCAGATCAATGTTTGTGAAGAATAATATGCACAAGGAACATCCTATCGGGATTCCAATCAGCTCCGGAGAATATTCGCTCGCCTTTACAAAAACTTTTAGAGGATTTTTACCTGATCCTGCGTCCGAATATCAACTTCTGCCTTCTCCTTCCATTCATTATTCAAAAATCCAATCCAACGGTAAGTAAGCCTCTTTTGTCGTTTGATACACTAACGATAGACAATTCACAGTTTCTGAATATTTATTTACTTACAAACAATGGGATTAATTAATTAACTAATGCAGGTGTAGGACATTCAGTAATTGCTAAGATGATCAAACTATGCCGAAGCATGGATATTTTTGCTCAAGGAATCCGTGAGCACGGTAAATACTTTCAAAAAACATTATTTCAAAAAAAAAAAACAAAAAAAAAAAAGAGAATCCGATCGTATGAATGTATAAGATAACATATGCATAACAATGTTTTGATGTAGTATATTTTTCATGATTTACTGCAGTAAGATTAGGAACAAAGTTAAGTGAAACAATGAAAGGAAAGTTGAGCTTAGGTGCAAGAATCGTACAAGTTGGCGGAGTGGAGAAAGTGTTCAAGCAAAGATTCGACATTTTTAGAGACGAAGAGAAACTATTGAAAGCTTGTCAGTGCTATTTATCAACAACAACAGGACCAATAGCCGGACTCCTCTTCGTTTCAACGGACAGAATTGCATTTTGCAGCGAGAGATCCATCAAATTCTCTTCTCCAGCTGGAAAACTGCTCAAACTACATTACAAGGTACATTATTAAAACATACATACATAATCGGCTTCGATAATTTTCGTGTCTTGTTTGTTCAGCATGAATGGGAACTAACATATATATATTTGCAGGTCGTGATTCCACTAAGGAAAATAAAGAGTCTCCACGAAAGTGAAAATGCGAAAAAACCGACGCAGAAGTACGTGCACTTAGTCACAGGAGATAACTTCGATTTCTGGTTTATGGGATTTCTTAATCACCAAAGGACTTTAAAGTATCTCCAGCAAACAATCCATCAAACGGTTTAATACTTTAATTTGAGCAGAGAAACTAAATTCTCGCAATTGTGTACAAATTTGTTAGAGATTCTTACATGTAGCAACGATGATTTTTTAACGTCTAGGTAAATGATCCAAGTTTCTTTATTGCGAGCAAACGAAATGAGTTGAGAGACAAACCGACCTCAACAAAGTGAACAATATCATGCAAATATATCCCACCACATATGAATATTTTGTTTCTGGAAAATAGACACAAGTACCATGAAATGCCATGAAGAATATTTAAATGTAGCAGCCACGGGTTTAATTAAACAATTCTCGAGAAAATTCAAAACTCTTCCATACTTAAAAATCATAAGCGAAAACATAAGAGAAAGGTCACAAAATAGTAATGCGAGAACAATGCATTAATTTACAATGATGTTATGTCTGATCAAATGCCCTCATAGACGTATATCCAGTCACAACAATAGTCTGTTGAAATAAAGCCATTGACACCAAACAAATCACACAGTAAGAAACCGTTTGCGTACAGAATGATACAAGGAATAGAAAATCATCTACACCATAACATAAATAAAACAAAGGTATCAGTGAATAATATACATATGTAGTAACCGGTTTGTTGAGAAACAAACAAGAAAGTAAAAGAAAAGAACTTGGGAAGACATACTTTAACATCAAGAGGGCGGCACCTTAACGAGTAGAAACCAAAACGGGACATCCAATTATATTTTCAGCGCAGCAAATCGGGTTCTACTAAGCTCCCAGTAAAATTAACCTTACATCCATGTGGAAACTGTAATCCAGCCTCATGGCATCGTAGTTGAGTTACATGTGGGCATGACCGCACATCGAGATATTCAAGACCTTCACATGACTTCAAAAGTTTGCTCATTCCATCAACGGTAATCTTCTCACAGTTACTTACCCTCAAAATCTTCAAACTCAACTTACAATCTTCACTCCCTAATCCTTGAAAAGCCGAGTCGGTTACCTCTTCACAGCATCCAACGTCAAGAACCTCAAGATTCCGGCACATTAAAAATATGCAGACTAAGGAAGTATCCGATACTTTTAGGCACCAATCCATGCGCAGATTCTTGAGACTTCCATAACATGCGAAAGCCAATGACTTTATGGCATCATCCGATAAGTCCCGACATCCACCAATTATGAGTGTCTCGAGATTTTTGCAATATTTGGCCAGGGACAGTATCGAGTCATCCCCGATCTTGTAGCAATCCAGCAACTTCAGTGTTCGCAGTGAGGAAGAACATGCTTTTGATACATTAGATATACCAATATCTCCGATATTACTGCACTTATTGAGGTCTAAATGTTTCAATCTCTTACAACCCTCCGCAAGGGCAGTGAGACCAGAATCGGTTAAGTTAGTGCATCCTTGCAAACCTAACTCTTCAAGATTATTACAGTTCATGGAAAGCGCACTTAATAGAGAGTCGGTAATAAATCTGCAACCCATAACATGCAATGCTCTCAGGCCATGGCAACCCTTAGCAACAGACGACAGCCCCTTATCGGTTAGCTTTCTGCAATAGGATACATCTAGGGACTGCAAACATGGAAGCCCAGATCCAATTGCTGACAACCCCTTATCTGTTATACCTGCTAAACAACAATAACTCGTATAATCGACTATCTTCATACATAAGCCAGGTGTAAAGTTACATATTTTGAGAAACTAAGCACAAGAATTATTGATAGAAAACTCATTTAACTGAGTCAGAGGCATTACAATCAACAATACCACAGAGTATAAGAGAAGGTTTAACAAATAGAAGCGCCCCTTTCGCTTTGTTTCTTTACTTGAACACCTATCCTAGTGTTCTTTGATTCCATAATGTCAGGGTGAACTAAGATAAATAACACATGCCCAAAAAAAATTAAAAAAAGATAGATAATTGTCACATTCTCACTATTTATTATTGCAAGAAAGTAAAATAAACAATAATTAAGGAAAAAAAATAAGACAGTTGAGAACCCCTCTTCGTCATTCTTAATTGAAAAAGATAATCTAATGAAACATAATGGAAACTTCTACCGAAACTGGTGTGCCTATTGGAGGTGTCCAGTCACGAAAAAATTGCACTTCCACTTGTCATTCATGCGTTGCTTCAATTTGGTTAAATCAGGTTTCGGCTACAACTTTCCATCATTGTCGTTTTCTTCATTACACAATTTAGGTTACTTTATTAAACATGGTAATGAAAGAAATTCTAAAGGCTGACTTTACCCGCCTGTGAAAGGTTAATAAAAGCTGCCAAAGTCCTTGTAAAATCCACAGGCAGACTACTACACGGTCATTTAAAAAAATATGCAAATGACACCAATTTGAAATTATGCTTGACACTTGCACGATTTGTTTGAAAGGTGTTTACGGCTGTCTAAGAACATTTTTAGCATTATGACTTGACAAAATCTCCTCTTTGAAACGGATGTAAGTGAAAAGTTTTATATTCCAAGCACACTACTTACTACTGATGAAAGATTCTCTAAATAAGCGGTTCAGCTTATTGAAAAGAAGAACTAAGAAGTGCTCTCCACAAACACATAATTTTTTAAAGATTGTTTCTTGCCAATTAGATCAAATTTCAAAACCAATTCAGAATCAACTGCCATCTTATTCACCAACTGGAAACCATACCAAACTTCAGAGGAGATAACCGAAGGGAAAAAAAGAAAAGAAAAAAAGAACCATTCAAAATTGAAAACAAAATCAAAATCCTAGGTCAAAATCAGTTCTTTAAAACAATTGTCAGCAGAAACAAGATCATAAAATTCAAACTCTACAAGATTATGCTCACTCTCAAACTGAAATATAACAAAAAAAAATAGTAAGTAATTAAAAAATATGCGTTGCGACGATCGTACCTTTGCAGTTCTGTAAGTTGAGAAGGCGGAGGGAGGTGAAGGCGGCAGCAATTACAGAAAGATCGGAATCGGTGACGCCGGGATAAAAGGAGCGAGATAGGGATTGAGAAAGGTCGAGCTCAGAGAGGCGCGTGAATCTGGCAGCTATACGGTTGAGCATGTGGGGGCCGGCTCGAGCACATAGCTTTCTTCTCTCGGTGCTCTGCAGGTGGAGCCACCTCTTGCACACCAGTCCAAATACCTCCTTGTCTTTGTCTTCTTCAAGCTTCGACAGCACCGCCCGTAGCTCGTCATCGCCCAGTCTGTTGTTTATGCACGCGCCGCTCTCTTCTGGCTGAGAGGTGCGTGACATGGAGGAGGAGGAGGATCTCGACCCTAATAATTGAAAACGTTTGGCATTAATTTGCAACGACAAAATAGTTTTTAGGGGTTACTTACTGGTCAAACCAAAGTGTAAAATGCTGGTAGCTGCCCGATAGCATTCTCAATTTTATAAACTTAGAATGCAGATGAGTCCCTACAGTAGATAGGTGAAAAATTACAAAATCCTTTAGCATCCGTTGGTTTCTTGAAATTGGACTGTGATATGCCTAATTAGGCCAACCCAATGGGCTTACAATTTATTTACCTACGGGGCTACGAGCCCAATATTGAAGACCACAATCACCGAGGCCCAATCACCTTCAAATAAGGTTTGGCCCCAACAATCTCATCTAAAGCTCTCATCTAAGCTATAAATAATCATTTGAACTCATTCCTCAAGGTACGTCCTATTAACTGAGCAATACTATCAACTGTATTCTCTAGACTATTTCTATGATTAGCACGTCTAACTTGAACGTCGGAGGGATTTCCGCCGGATCAACCCCCGGCTTAGTTCATGTGTGTTCATTCCGCAGGTATCTCAAGGTCATCAAGCTCGTGAGCCTGTGATCCGCTCTACTCTTCCAGCTCATCAAACTTCAACTATCTAAGGTGATCTATCTCAAGCATCATCATTTTGGCGCCGTCTGTGGGAAGGCAAACAAGATCACGTAGCACGCTAGATGGCCTTGAGACATCTGCTCAGGGGAGTGTGACACTGCTAACAACCTCGCACCTCGTGGAGGCTCTGGCTTGCCACTTCCTCCTTCCCATGCTTGGGATCCACCACGAGACCCTCCTCGTGATGTCCCACTAGATTCTCAACAGGATCCACTTCTTCCCACCCATCGATCGGTTCAGACAACCGAGGTGGCCCTTCAACGCTAGCAAGGGTTATCGACTCCCTGGGGGTTTACTGTTCCCCCTATACATTTCGTTCGCCAAGGGTTATCGAGTCCCTGGGGGCTTACATCTGCCCCCAAAATATTTCGTTCGCCAAGGGTTATCGACTCGCTGGGGGTCTACAGTGCCCCCAAAACATTTCGTTTGCCAAGGGTTATCGACTCCTTGGGGGTTTACAGTGCCCCCAAAACATTTCGTTCGCCAAGGGTTATCGACTCCCTGGAGGCCTACCTCCGCCCCCCTCTAACGGTTCAGATAACCGATGAGGACATTCAGCGTATGATCGCAGAAGCTTCAACAAAATCAACTTCTACTTGCCCCTCTAACGGTTCAGATAACCGAAGAGGACCTTCAGCGTATGATCGCTGAAACTTCAACAGGATCAACTTCTACTTGCTCATCTAACGGTTCAGATAACCGATGAGGACCTTCAGCGTATGATCGCAGAAGTTTCAACAAAATCGACTTTTACTTGCTCCTCTAACGGTTCAGATAACCGATGAGGACCTTCAGCGTACGATCGCGGAAGCTTCAACTCGGGCCACTGAAGCAGTGGCACCATACATCATCGCAAAGGAAGCGAACACTCCCATCGCGTGGCCCTACTTGGTCCTCAACATGATCAACTTCTCATTGCTCCTCGAACGGTTCAAATAACCAAAGAGGACCTTCAGCGTATGATCGCAGAAGCTTCAACTCATGCTGCCACTGTCACTGAAGCAGTGGCACCATACATCGCTATAGTAGGAACCAACGCTTCTCCTCGCGAGGCCCCACTGGATCCTCAACAGGACCAACTTCTCCCTGCTTCTCGAACGGTTCAGATAACCGAAGAGAACCTTCACCGTATGATCACGGAAGATTCAACTCATGCTGCCACTGAAGCAGTGACACCATACATCGCCATAGTAGGATTCAACGCCCCTCATGCGGCTCCAGTCGTAGCACAACCACCACTATAAGGTAACGCCCACCAAATGAGTGTGTCGTGGGCATCTACTTCGAACCTTCAATTCCGAATACAACAACTCACTCATCACGGAGAAGCGCGAACTGTGCAACATCGCCGAGAAGCACAAACTGCCGCAACATCGCCCATGTTCACCTCGGAGAGCCAACACCTCTCCTTTACGAGCTCCTCATTCCAATGATGTCAAAGACACTTGGAGTTCTTCAAAACCATAACAGGGTTTGTGATCGCCTCACCTAAGATGGGAGCTATCACACCTCAAGGTTAGGCATCTCATCCAAATGGTTGGACATCTCGTCACAAGGGTGGTACATCCTCCCTACCTTTGAACTCCAACAAACTCACATCTCATCCTAAGAGTTGCGTATCATCTCTCTACCCTAAGGATAAGAAATCTCCAAATGGGGTGGCTATCAAAAAAAAATAATAATAAATAAAAATTAAAAAAAATATCGGGCACGATTCTCGAGGCAGCCACGAGCACGATTCCCGAGGCAGCCACGAGCACGATTCCCGAGGCAGTCACGAGCACGCTTCCCGAGGAAAAAAAAAGAATCAGTCATGATTCCCGAGGCATCCCAGGGCACGCTTCCCGAGGCGCACGTGGGCATGCTTCCCGAGACAAGCGCGACACGCATCCAGGGGCACGCGCGACACGTATTCCGATGCGCGCGCCCGACACGTTTTCCGAGGCGCGCACGGGCACGCTTCCCGAGGCGCGCCGACACGATTCCCGAGGCAAGAAAATCACGGGCTCACTTCCCGAGGCACGCAGACCGCACGCTTCCCGAGGCGCCCAGCCGGCACACTTCTCGAGGCAAAAAAAAGGAAAAAGTGAATGAAGCAACATGCTGCATCACCATCACACTCTCTCCATACATTAATACCGCACGCCTCCCGATGAAGTCCCTATCAGCTCCTCACTCTCTCTCCCATGCATTCAATGCACGCAGACCTCCCCATAAATTTCTTAACAGATCCACACTCTCTCTCTCCATGCACTACATGTGCGCGTGCTCCCCCCATGTGCGCTAGTGAGCGCACGGACCCCAAGTGCGCGCGAACTCAGGCACATCAGCGTCCTACAATGCGGGCCGCCTCTCCTACCTCGTAGCGCGCGCATATCTGAGGTCGCGCGCAACTCTCAGTATTCTACCTCAAATCGCGTGAAGAATTTGACGCACTTTACTAAATCGCGCGAGAATTTCAGTGCGCTCCACTAAATCGCTTGATAATTTCACCTCGCTTAACCAAATTACGCGAGCTCTTCAACGCGCCTACCAAATTGCGCTTGCTATCAAACGGATTAATAAGAAATATTATTTCTCCACACCACACCAACGATTAACGAAACACTACAACACCGATCTACTCTCGACACGATCCGGTACCCGTTTCAACTTGGCTCCCACATCGTCTCGAGAGTGGGGGGCTTGCGAGACAACTCCCACGATGAGCCAACTCGCTCGACACTACGAACCCGTTGAGAGGCAACTCTCACGAGAAGCCAACTCCCTCGGTTCTACGAAACCACACCGAGATAACTCCCACGAGGAGACCACTCGCTCCGTCCTATAACCCCTTGTGAGGCAACTCCCACGAGGAGCCAACTCCCTCGGGTCTACGAAACCGCAGCGAGATAACTCCCACGAGGAGACCACTCGCTCGGTCCTACAACCCGTTGCGAGACAACTCCCTCGGTACTACTACCCACAACCGAGAAAACTCCTACGAGGAGCAAACTCGCTCGATCCTACAAACTCGTTGCAAGGAAACTCCCACGAGGAGCCAACTCCCTCGGTACTACTAGCCACAGCGGAACAACTCCCACGAGGAGCAAACTCGCTCAGTCATATAACCCGTTGCGAGGCAACTCCCACGATGAGCCAACTCCCTCGGGTCTACGAAATCACAGCGAGATAACTCCCACAAGGAGACCACTCGCTCGGTCCTACAACCCGTAGCAAGACAACTCTCACGAGGAGACAACTCGCTCGGTCCTACAACACGTTACGAGACAACTCCAACAAGGAGACAACTCGCTCGGTACTACAACCCATAGCGAGACAACTCCCACGATGAGCCAACTCGCTCGACACTACGAACCCGTTGAAAGGCAACTCCCATGAAGAGCCACATCGCTCGGTAATAAGACTCGTTGCGAGACAACTCCAACGAGGAGACAACTCGCTCAAAGCGACCTCAATCCGCACGTTCCTCAGTCGCGCGTCATCCAACGCCCCAACAACTTCGCTGCGAGACAGTTCTCTCGAGGAGACAACTCGCTCACAATTCACTACACAATCACAAGCTTAAGTTAGCACGATTACAACCCTAGAAACACTCAGAGATATTATGGGAATCTATATAGCCTGGCCAGCTCGATTACTCAAATTTCTCTACTTGTCTTCGACGGGTCTTTCATTAAAACGTGGCCACGGTCCAAACATACTTACGACCCGCGAGGTCTAACAAGGGGCACGATCCCCATCAAAAAAAAAAAAAAATATTGAGAGCCTGATCCACTCATCAAGTACATCAAGCACAAGGATATATGTAAACACATACAAGCAACGCGTCAAACCATTGACAACGTCAATAAATAACAACTCCCACGAGGAGATAACACGATCCGCGCTACCACATCGTCGCGGGACAAAACCGACGACTCAAGTAACTTACATCGCGACAACTTGGTCGCGCTACGCGCCAACGCGCCTGCACGCCCCTCCGACACCCGCTCCAACGCGTTTTCGCACACTATCAGGCCATACGCCAACAAACGACTACTACAATTTTTACTCTCGACACGATCTGTCATCCATTTCAACATGGCCCCCACATCGACTTGAGAGTGGGGGGCTTAATGATATGCCTAATTAGGCCAACCCAATGGGGTTAGAATTTATTTACCTACGGGGCTATGAGCCCAATATTGAAGACCAGAATCACCGAGGCCCAATCACCTTCAAATAAGGTTTGGGCCCAACAATCTCATCTAAAGATCTCATCTAAGCTATAAATAATCATTTGAACTCATTCCTCAAGGTACGTCCTATTAACTGAGCAATATTATCAATTGTATTCTCTGGACTATTTCTATGATCAACACGTCTGACTTGAGCGTCGGAGGGGTTTCCGCCGGATCAACCCCCGGCTTAGTTCATGTGTGTTCATTTCGCAGGTATCTCAAGGTCATCAAGCTCGTGAGCCTGTGATCCACTCTGCTCTTCC